CACTACCATGACCCCCTTACCATGACCACACTACCATGACCACACTACCATGACCCCCTTACCATGACCACACTACCATGACCACACTACCATGACCACACTACAATAACCACACGACTGTGATCATCAGACCATTACCACACTACCATATTATCATCTGTGCAGAGACCATAATTCCCATACCCACACGGATTCACACAATCACAGCCAACAAGATGTACTGTGAACAAAAAAGTACCCTACAACCGTTCATAACTTGCCGGCTTAACGGGAGAGCGATGAGGCCGGGGTGATTAGGATATGTGTTAACTAGATCACAGTAGTTGAGCCAGTTCTTTAGGTCGTTACCTTAGTGCCGGCAAAAACTTGTAATCATTGTTCGCACCGGGGATAAACGGCTTTTACATTTGCTAGCTTGTATCTGCCGGTAAATAGACCTAGCTCTCATATTTTCCGGTAACTATAACAACCTCTTATACTTGCCGATAACTAGTTCGAACTCTCATACTTTCTGCTAACTAGACCAACTCTCATATTTTCCGGTAACTAGACCATCTGTCACACTTTCTGCAACTAGGCCAAGTCTCAAATTTTCCGGTCCCTAGACGAAACTCTTATACTTTCCGGTAACTAGACCAATCCTCATACTATTCTGTAATTAGAGCAAACTCTCATACTTTTCTGTAAAAAGACCTACATTTCAGACCATCATATTTTCCGTTAACAAGAGAAGAGAATCATACATTCCGGTAAAAAGACAAGAATCTCATTCTTGCTAGCGAACATTAACTGTTGTACTCGCCGGCAGAAAAAGCCGGCAGTAATGTAGACCTGTCACATGCCCCCACATAACCCCCAACAATAAAGTAACTTGCCGGTAGAGCCGGCACGGGGCACCAAATGGAAGTCACTGACCAGGGGATGCTTCAATTATATCGATATAGATTGTAATGTGGGGAAATGACACCCCCCCCCCTCCCCGTGAACTGTAGGACGGAATGGTCTAGCGGTAGAGAGCTGGACTGCTAACCCGTAAGTCTAGAGTTCGAATCCGGGTTCAAGTCAGTAGACCGTCCCTGAGTCCACCCAACTCCAATGGGTACCTAACTCATGTTAGGGTAAGTAAAGGCGGCTGGGCATGGTGCTGACCACACTATCTCTTCATATGCCGAGGTCACAGAAGCAAGTGAACTCTACTTCATTTGCCCTATAGACCGTCAGGTTTGAAAAGGGAACTTTACCCCGTGAACTGTACCGATCCTATATAACTGAAAGATCCTCTTCACCACCCGTCTCAGCCTTGTTATGTATTTGAACATCTTTTAATGTGAACATAACTTTTGGTTCCCGATTCACGTATTTCAGTACTAATGGTTAAAGATATGTTTTAGAAAACTTTTCTCAAAAACAACGCCCAGTATGTCAGGGAAATCATTACAGAATATCCAAAGACGAACTATCACAAGACAAAAATATCTCAAACAAAATATTTCACACATAATATTCCAGATAAATCTCACTAAACATCTCACACACTACTCCGCATAATATCTCAGACAAATTATCTCAAAACAAAACATGTCAGACAAGAAAAACAGACAACATATTTCAGATAAAATATCTCAAACACGATACCTCAAACACAATACCTTAGACAAATGATCTCAGACAAATTACACAGTATCTCAGACAATATCTCCCTAAGTTCTAGACCTAATGCATCAGTCCTGTGACTTGGAATAGCCACCATTTACATCGACTGAGTGGGGAGTAACACGAATGTAGGACGGCGAATAGGCCTACAGCATTACAGAATGTTCTACGTGTATTAGCACGGGTATTAATGGCATATTTATCTGGCAAGTCTTCGTCCTTTCTGTGATGTTTTGGTACTTAAGGGGGACAGAATCGATGGGGAAATAACAAGAGTAAGTGTACACACATATAAGTATGCATCAGAGTACGATTCTCAAAATGTGCTTTTCATTTTCTTGGGAGTATTGGTAGAAACCTCTAGTTCATGCCTCAAAATAAGATAACATGTCCTTTGGTTTGTATTGGTGTATATTTTTGAGGTAGTATTATAAGACGTGTTAACTTCAAGTAAGAAAGTGTCGAGTTCAAAGAAGAAAGGAAATGCCGAGTACAAGTAAGAAATGATTGAGTACAAGTAAGAATGTCTTGAGTACAAGTTAAAAAGTGTACGCACGAGTAACAAAGTGATGAGCGCACAAGTAAGAAAGTGTTAAGTACAAGTTAGAAAGTGCTAAGTACAAGTAAGAAAGTGGAGAGAACAAGTAAGAAAGTGTTGAGTACAAGTAAGAAAGTGTTACGTACAAGTAAGAAAGTGTTGAGTACCGATCAAAGAATGGTTAAGTACAAGTAAAAAAACACCTAGTACTCTGCTTTTAGTTTGCCGACTTGGTGAAACCGATACCGACAGGGACGCTAATTGCCCGTGTCTTGTCTCGTGCATTAAGAAACTCCAGTTAAAATCTTACAGAGCTCACACAGACACATAGATAGGCGCCCGTGGCTCGAGGGGAGGTCAGTCTGTCAGTCATACAAGAAGACTTAGTTTTCACCTTAGGTACGCCAGTCTGTCAGTCATACAAGAAGACTTAGTTTTCACCTTAGGTACGCCATTAAAACTGACTGATCCGTGAACGTAATTATATGGATCTGATATTTTACGAAAACTAAGTTGTCTAGTTATATCATTAACACTAGGCAATTGGTGAACGTAATTATATGGAGCTGATATTTCACGAAAACTAAGTTAAGTCTAGTTATATCATTAACACTAGACAATTGGTGAACGTAATTAAACAATTCTGATATTTCACGAAAACTAAGCTTAAGTCTAGTTATACCATTAAAAATAGACATTATAAAACGTAATTACACGGAGCTGATATTTAATATCTTCTGGTTACTTATTAAATTCAATTATAGTTGTGTTGAATTTTTAAAAACAACTTTGTCCCAATACTAATTTGTGGTATTGTATTTCTTTTTATCGGGGAGGGGGAGGGGGGTATCAACCAATTCCAACTCGACCTATACAACAAGTAACGTTGGTAATTGGTGATGATTGTCAAGTGACTTGACATGAATGCATCTTGAGACAGCACTGAGGGAGGCACTATTGTCACCATCACGCCTGCTTTGAAATATGAAAACACACCATGAAATGAAAACAGTTTGAGTTAACTCAACCGTGACGAGTCCCGCGGAGTTCGGGGACCGTATCAGTGCTGGACGACATCTATCTCTGTCAGACAGTCACAACAAGAGGAGGTTTATGTTGGAGAACACAAGACATGTTTTGCCAACTACATGACGTCATGCGGCGTGCTGTCTAAAAGTTATGACTGGTTCAACTAGCGAAACGGGAGTCATGTGATCATGCGCATGTCATAGAAAAAGGGTAGAGTAGCACAACATTCCAGCGGAGCAGACGATTTTGTTTGTCTAATTTCTAGAGGCTAGGGTGGGGGGGGGGGTGGATAAAAACACGAACATAGGGACTTATTTATCTTGGCGAAAGGACGGCAGGCGCCAAAAAGGTGCCAAAATACAAATACGTTTTTTTAAAGAGTTTACAGTTTGCATGAGCTGTAGATGAAACGCGATACGGGGAGGGGAGGGGGTGGGGATGATTTATTTCTTTTTGAAATTACCACTTTATCCCACCCAGTAGGATTCGAACCCCGCGCGACAAGGCGAGATAGAAGCTGTGTTTCTCTTTTACTGATGGTGAATGACTTAAGATAACTTCTGCGATAATTCGCGTCATGGGGCGGTTTAAAGTTTGCAATGTGGCGGTTTAAAGTTTCATGCACCACCCTAAAACAGAAATTAGATACTTGATTGACTAAAAACGCAAAGCAGATTTACTGAGAATTTTTTTGTTTTTAACTTAATTGTATAAAAACATACTGCTTTAAAGACGGATTTTTTTAGTTTCTTTGATATATTTATGCAGGAGAAGCCATTTTTTGTGTGCAGGTGAATTTGATTGTTTTAAGTTTTATACAGAGACAAAAATAGAAGGATCAGAAATAGATGGGTCAGTTGGGCTCAAGCACGAGGTTGTAGAGTCGTGGGTATGCTCCTACAGACAGCAGCGTTGATACAATCAGTCCCAGGGAGAGATAGGGGAACAGGTGGCGCTGTCTATTGTTGGCTGAGAGGGGGCCTGGTGTTCTGGCACAGGTAGAACTAAAGGTGAGAGCGGAGGATTGGTTCCATTATTAGCAGGCAGGTGACTTTTAATAGAAATATTTATTTTAGTTTAAGTAATTATTTGTTTTTAGATGCGCGGGTGATAATTTTAAAAAAAGTAGAAAGGAAATTGAAAAACATTTTTATGAAGGTCTTGATAGAACTTCTCCTCTTCTGTTATTCTAGAATAGATAGTTAGAACAATGTTCTAAGGTCAGGTAAACGAGACAGGCTGCAGGTACTAGCATGTACACATGTTGCCAGTCTATAAGACGTTTGCTGCATCTATGCATAGCAACACATGGTTGGAACATGTGCATGTTCGGATTGAGTGGTGGGGGTGGGCGAGGGGTATTTAGATTTTTAGATTGGGTACACGTTTTGGCAAGGTATCGAGCTAGTTATTTTCAGATTAGCAAGTGAGTCTTCTACAACTCGACCACTCCGTCGATACTCCTTTTTAACTAAATATTACGTCCCTTTATTTATGTAACTAAAGATTACGTCCCTTTATGTAGGTATAGACGTAAATTGGTCTAAATATTCATGACAGTTGAGCGCTAGCCCCAACGTCTAGAGTACAAATCTCAGACTCGAGTTTGTTAGACGTCCCTGAGTTCACCCAGCTCTATTGGGTACCTGAAAGTCAAGACGGCATAGTTTTGACCACACAATCTACTTCACATGTCGTGTGGGTCATCGGGTCCTAAAGGTGAACTTTACTTTTAACTTACTACTCAAGATAATCGATAAAAGAGGAAAAAACGTCCTACCTGTAGATTTGTATCCGAATTTGATTTCCACGGCGTTAAGAAACGTCTCTGGCAGCAGTAGAAGAAAAGCCGCCATGATGTGCAGGGTCTGGGCTATGGGACAAAAGTGTTTCCAGACTCTAGCCACGCCGTGGTGCTTCACGCTACAGTCCTGGGACGCGTCCAGCGAGCACCCCAGGGCGTGGTCACGTCCTAGCTTGATCCCGTCGTTCGCCAGGTTCCCCACTTTGACGAAGGCCGTAGCGCATAGCATGGGGAGCAGCATCAAGGACAGGACCGTCAGCCCCAGCAAAATGGCCGACTCGGATGGCGTGCCGCCACCACCCGGCCATGCTCGGGACTCGGCCAGTTTATATCTGGAGATGGCCGTGTAACACGAGTAGGCGTGGATGGTTAAGGTGATGAAACAGTAACAAATAGACGAAAACGAGTTCAGGCTGGAACTGCGCGTAATAATTCCAACCATTGTGTCACGTGGTGTTCTTTTTTTTTTTAGAATCCGGTTATCAATTCTTCGGCGCCTCTGTTGAATAACTCACGAGGAATGACAGTCGATGACGACATTGTCAGCTGGTGTCTGGGAACCCAGCGCGCCGATTGTCCCACGGTGTCCCCATCGTCAACATCATCACAGCGCTGTACAGTGGGTATAGCCCGGGGAAGGGGGGGGGGCTAGGGCTCTTGGCTAGCCCTTGGCATCCATAGATCTCCTGCAGGAAGCCACAGCTGTCATCGTGGGGCCGGAGTTCCTGGGAGATGGAACAAAGAACGGCATCGATTATTTATTGCATTTATTTATAGAAGCACTCGCTTTCTTACTGTATAGGACAAATGTGGGTTCTTCTTGGTTCTAGGGAGGGGGGGGGGGGGGGGGAGGACGGTATCGGAGTCAAATTTTGCGCATAGTTAACCTAAATCTTACTCCTAGCCTTGAGATTAGTCCTAGTCTTAATTCTAGCCATAACCCAAACAAAATGCCAAACCCAACAAAGATACTCATAGAAGAAAACTCGATGTGATGATATACTGCATGAATGTAGAGCAAAATATAATAAACATACCCAATAATACAGTCTGTGACACTGCCTAACCGAGAAGCACCATTATTTCATATCACAAGGGTAGTTTGTTATTCTATCAAAATAGTAAATTAAACTTGAGATCAGTTTAGTACCATTCATTCAACACACAAACATATTGGTACTTATCTCTAAAACATACAGCAAAAAAGCCCAAGTCCCTAACTCAACTTCTTAGTATTTGCTTTACCCAAGAATTCAAAAACTTTTTCAGTAACGTTTTTTTTTTCTATAGACAAAATTAATTCTAATTCTAACCCTACCCCATTAGTTGGCAGTATCATTATCAGCGATACAAAGATTACGAATAATTGGGTACGGCTAATCCAGGTAAAATTGAAAAAAATATTTTTAATCCTAAACCTACAATAAATGGTCGGGATATCGTTTTCAGAAATACGAGCCATTCAGTTATCGATTTACAGTACCCAAATGTTATAAGGCTATGACCAATCGATACGAAAAGTCCCCCAACTCTATTCCTAAACCTGCACCCAACCTTTTGTTGTGGTACGACTAATTGTACCGGTTGTCTAACTCCATATAAATAATCGTTTTCAAACGTTTAGCATTGCACGCTCCCATGCATAGAGCTTACGGCAGACAATATTAGTGGTTTAAAAAATCTAATGGATCGTATTACTAGTATTAGGCTTATGGCTTCTACTAGTCATAGTCTATTAATAGAAAATAAATTAGGAAAGCGATTAGATTTGTTGGGATTAGGCATAACTGCCTTTACTAGATCTAATCTAGGTACTTGTCAGTATAAAGTATAAGTAGATCTGGATTCTAGATCTATTTTAGATCTAAATCTAAAAAATCTAATATTAATAATAAATTATCAGTAATTTCTATTGATTAACAATTACAATAATATCGTTGTTATAGAACTCTTTAAAAAATCAATAAATCATGATAAGCTGGGTAGTGTCTTTCTTAAACTTTTATAGCGCAGATAAATGAAATTACCTTTGCTATTCATTAAATAACCATTCGATTAGAAAAGAAATACACCTTGAAAATACGACTGCCAAATGAATGGGTGTATACTCACTGCACTCAGCATGTCTGAAAGAAAGCAGAACTCTCTGCGTCTGTTTGGCACTGGTGCCGATAAGTGCGCACCGGTTGCGGGGAGTATGGAAAGGTGCAGTTCCGTAAAAATGGTGTATTTAACTTATATGTGTAAATTTTATACAAAAATACTATTTTTACAAGCTTTTATTACAAGCTTTTATTTAACTCACTTCCTCTGTCTGTCGTCAGTCTGTCTAGACGGAAACGCAGCAGTGAAAATTCGGACAGTTCTACTTGACCGATACGATTCACAGTTGGCACGTGGGTCAAGACATGAAGACAATGCAATCTGAATCTAAATTTGACTTAATTGGATGCCTAATTAATTTTTTATGAATTAATAAAAATTTGGACCGAATTAGTAGGCATGTCTAGCCAACCACACCACACGCGTCATCACCTTCAATAGCTGCGCCATCACGTAATGGCTGCGTTCAAAAACCATTGCGCGCCTACTGAACGTGATGTTCAGTAGGCGCGCAATGGTTTTTAGTCATGTAACTCTATTGTAAATAAAACATGTAAAGTACTGAAAAAAAAATTCATAAAAAACGTTTTAATAACAAGCTTTTATGTAATGATGCACTAAAAAGTAGAAAATAAATTATAGACTACTATTTAAATAACTATAAAGAAAAGCGTGGGTGTCTTCCTTAACATTAGTAAAGGTATCCAATAGATACTAAAGTGACCCACGCTTTTCTTTATAGTTATTTAAATAGTAGTCTATAATTTATTTTCTACTTTTTAGTGCATCATTACATAAAAGCTTGTTATTAAAACGTTTTTACAAGCTTTTATTTAACTCACTTCCTCTGTCGACAGTCTGTCGTCAGTCTAGACGGAAACGCAGGAGTGAAAATTCGGACAGTTCTACTTGACCGACACGATTCACAGTTGGCACGTGGGTCAAGACATGAAGACAATACAATCTGAAACTAAATTTGACTTAATTGGATGCCTAATTGATTTTTTATGAATTAATTAAAATTTGGACCGAATTAGTAGGCATGTCTAGCCAACCACACCACACGCGTCATCAATAGCTGCGCCATCACGACCACGTAATGGCTGCGTTCAAAAACCATTGCGCGCCGACTGAACGTGATATTCAGTAGGCGCGCAATGGTTTTTAGTCATGTAACTCTATTGTAGATAAAACATGTAAAGTACTGAAAAAAAATTCATAAAAAACGTTTTAATAACAAGCTTTTATGTAATGATGCACTAAAAAGTAGAAAATAAATTATAGACTACTATTTAAATAACTATAAAGAAAAGCGTGGGTGTCTTCCTTAACATTAGTAAAGGTATCCAATAGATACTAAAGTGACCCACGCTTTTCTTTATAGTTATTTAAATAGTAGTCTATAATTTATTTTCTACTTTTTAGTGCATCATTACATAAAAGCTTGTTATTAAAACGTTTTTTATGAATTTTTTTTTATGAATTTTTTTTTTAACTCACTTCCTCTGTCTGTCGTCAGTCTAGACGGAAACGCAGGAGTGAAAATTCGGACAGTTCTACTTGACAGATACGATTCACAGTTGGCACGTGGGTCAAGACATGAAGACAATGCAATCTGAAACTAAATTTGACTAAATCGGATGCCTAATTAATTTTTTATTAATTAATTAAAATTTGGACCGAATTAGTAGGCATGTCTAGCCAACCACACCACACGCGTCATCAATAGCTGCGCCATCACGACCACGTAATGGCTGCGTTCAAAAACCATTGCGCGCCTACTGAACGTGATATTCAGTAGGCGCGCAATGGTTTTTAGTCATGTAACTCTATTGTAGATAAAACATGTAAAGTACTGAAAAAAAAATTCATAAAAAACGTTTTAATAACAAGCTTTTATGTAATGATGCACTAAAAAGTAGAAAATAAATTATAGACTACTATTTAAATAACTATAAAGAAAAGCGTGGGTGTCTTCCTTAACATTAGTAAAGGTATCCAATAGATACTAAAGTGACCCACGCTTTTCTTTATAGTTATTTAAATAGTAGTCTATAATTTATTTTCTACTTTTTAGTGCATCATTACATAAAAGCTTGTTATTAAAACGTTTTTTATGAATTTTTTTTTAAAACTTCGTGTCAATGTAATAAAGTAACATCTCACCTATCCACACTAGAACATACACACGCACGCACAGACGCGCATGCAGTCACTACTCGAAAACAATCTGTAGTACTCCAGTTATTTTTAGAAGCGGGAATAGCCGAAGAGTGCGAAAAACAAGGTTTTTCCTTGCCCAAGTGGAAGAGAATCGATCAACTTAAAATGTAATACGCGGTATAATTGTGTGAGGGTAGATATTTCTATGGCGATGGTATTTTTTGTGTAAAATAGACAATGTATTAAATAAGCTTGCTAGTTGTGAATACCTATAGCAGGTTTTTATCGATTGGCTAAGGGAAAATGTGTAACAGAGCTATGACGCCGATAACAATACACTTATACTGAAGGGTAGCCTAAGGCTGGGTGTTGAGATTAGTAATAGGGTGAAATTATAATTATCGGTAACTGTGCTTTGTGGGTACATTTTATCATAGACGAATTAAGGGGAAGTCTAGTGGGTGGGGCTGGGGGCACTTGAATCTCCAACCACCTCCGCCCCTGTATAATTCTGGGACAAAATGAGGAAAAACTAGGCCTATAGAGAGTTTAGAAATGTGCACCTTTTTGTGATATATATATATATATATATATATATATATATATATATATATATATATATATATATATATATATATATATATATATGTATATATTCCCAGCAGGACAGAATTCTACAGCTGTAGTTGATGGCCCATACTCCAGCAGGACAGAGAACTCTAGAGAGCTGTAGTTGGCGGACCATTCTTTAACAAGAATGATGATGATAATTAAACCAGGCCATTATTATAATTTTATGCATAAACCCTCTCGGGAAAATATACCTTTTTTGTGTACCCTAAGCTTAATCCAGTAATACAAAATACCCAAAAGGAAAGAAGAAAACATTCGAAATACCCCGCATCACGATTTCGGTGTGTAAAAAGACAAAAGTAAAACAAGGCCACGTAACTTTACCTTTCAACCTGCCTCTTTGATGCCCTTCACATAGCCTTGACACCCCCCTCCCCTTCCCAACCTCCTCATCGTTGCTGCCACGTGCTGGCATAACGCGGTTGTCGAACCTGTCCTTATTTATACCTTTTACACTTCCCGGGGACTATTATCTGCCGGCATACTAGGAAGTAGATACTCAAGTAGATAATAAAGTAGACTACTTATGGCATTACCGACGGTGCTGCATCGGCTACTGTGAGTGTACGTGTGTGTGCGCGCGCGTGTATGTGTGTGTGTGTGTGCTGGTTGCTCTACAACCCTAAATATAGCCCCATCCTTAACTAAAGCCTTAGTCTTAGCACTAGTCCGTTACTTGCCGTAACTTTATCGATGTCAAGTTACCATTACCAGCGTTACCATCACTTAAATACCTCTATACGACACTACATAGGCTTAAGGACGATCACGATAGTATAACTAGAGAATTACAATGCAAACAAGAACTAGAATCCTAGCTCTCATT